GCGTATATTATTAAGGAGTGTTTGCGGGAGCTTTTAAAAAGTGCTTTTCAGCTTTTAGCTTAAAAAAAGTTGAAAACAGTGTTTTCAAATGACAGATTCTGCTTAAATTAATCACTTTAAAGCTAAAAGCTGGAAGCAGGTAGAAGAGTGCTTTAAACCGCTTTTTACTTTTTCTATTACACAAAAAGCACTTATTTTACCAAACACTACCAACTTTACTTTTTCAGAATCACTTTTTTCTCAAACATTACCAACTTTTACTATTAAAGGTTGGTTTGCAACAACTTTAAAAAAAGTACTTCTCAGCTTTTGGCTTAAAAAAGCACTTATTTACCAAACACTACCAATTTTTTACTTTTCTCGGCTTTCGTGTCAAAAGTGTTTTTCCCCTTTTTATACACCAAAAGCACTTATTTTACCAAACACAACCAACTTTTACTTTTCAAAATCACTTTTTTCTCAAACACTATCAACTTTTACAACTAATCACTTTTTCATTTCATCTCCAAAAGTGCTTTTTTTTAAGCAGAAGCTGTTGCAAACACTCCCTAAATACTTTCTCCAAAATCACTTTAGAAAATCACTTTTATAAATTAGAAGCAATCGCAAACACTCCCTTAGTCAACTATTCTTCTGAATGTCAGCACAATATGAATTCCTACATGTTAAAACATTACTGGTGAATAAGAAATCTGGATAGAGGACATTCAATTGATGAATGCATTGTCGCAAATTAATGTGTAAAACCGAACCACAGATGAAGACCTCTGTTAGTTTATTCACGTATAATTCGCGTATAATACACTCAAACGTATAATTCACGTATAATACTCTTGTTTATGAATTTTTTCAAAAAATTCGGAAAAATTCGCGTACTTTAAGGATAAAATGTATAATACACGTACCGTACGTATTGAAAATTTTTTAGGACAGCGTTACGCGACTCGAGCTAATTCCACCAACATTTCATACGTTCGTGAAATATATAAAGATACAGACGCGTTTTAGCTCCACCAGCATTTATTCCCGTATAATACTCTCGTTTATGAATTTTTCAGAAAATTCTGGAAACCTCACGTACTTTAAGCATAAAATGTATAATACACGTACTGTATGTATTGATACATATTTTATTCAAAAACACACGCCATTAAACGGAAGCCTAATGTTGTGATACAACTGAAACGAAATGTTTAGTTGCTCAATATTATTTATATTGCTTAGAAAATTTATGCCTTATATGTTCGTTAATTGTTTCATAGTCATTACATTTAATAAATTAGTTTCTTAAATTCGTAATCCTTTTCAATACTACTATTGTACTACTAATGTATTACTTTTGTTCTCCACCCATACCAAGACTCCAAAGAGATCGAAAAATGTTGTGGCGGCTCACCAAACTCACGGTCACAGTAATATCAACTATTCTCTAATAATATATCTCTACTTCTACTCAAATAGGCAATGTCATTTTTATTACTTATTGTACTTATGTGTTCAAATCCGTATATATGAAAAAATTATTCCGTACATTTTAAATTGTTGAAGAATGTGGTTCAAATGCTTAATAACTTTTTATTTCTATCATTAAATTAGTATATAAGACACATATTATATGCCGTATTTTTAAATTGTAAAACGTTTAAAACGCGTCTGTATCTTTATATATTTCACGAACGTATGAAATGTTGGTGGAATTAGCTCGAGTCGCGTAACGCTGTCCTCAAGAAAGTATTTCCGGCTAGCGAAAACCTTTCCCCAAGATAAAATGAGCTCTTCAGCGTAAGCCGGTAACAGAACAACGAGAGTAGAAAATAATATTAATCCAGCAGAGTAATATAGAAGAAATTAGGCTAACTCTCGGTTACTTCAAAGATTGGAGCAAGGCAACTATACACTTTTAGTGTGTGTATGATCGCTAATCATTTGTAACTTTCCAGCAGTATATTAAGACCAAAGAAATCTCTATCTATCTTGCTCCACAGAATCGTGTGTGTGTATATATATATATATATATATATATATATATATATATATATATATATATATATATATATATTTGATCTCTAATCTATATAGGGGTGAGTTCACGTGCAAACCAATCCTCCCATGCAAACCTACAAACTAATCTCGTGCGTCCAGATTTGCCAAATCAAGAGTTATTCGTATAGCATCCACCGTATGAGGCTATGTGGTGAATACATGGAATTAAAAAATGGATGGGCCACTACTATGTACGGTTAATGGGGAAGGATACCAAGGTAAATTAGCTTTTGAATAAAAGAGCCGTCACTTTAAAATAGGAACTAAAATAGAACCCCAATCTCATTATTTATGTTAACCTACCACTAATATTGCAACCGTCCAAGTTTTGGAAATTAAAATATGGAAGTTTTTAGAGTATCTTCATATGAATTAATTTAAACAAGGAAAATTTCATATTTTCTCCATGCACGAAATCCCTTTTTTGCATTTGTAAATTTCAAAACATCTTTTCAATTTTAATTAATAATTAATAATAATTAAGTCGTTAACTAAATAACTCGATTTTTGGAATTAATCACTTCCTAATTAACTTTTCATCTTTAGCATTTCATATTAAGGTTATCGAATGTACATAATATATTAATAGTGAGTGTATAGTTTATATTAGAGCTTCTAACATATTAAATTTGTAAGAAATCAGTACAGGTAGAAATGCATGCATATTAACGTAGAAGTCCATGCATATTAAGGTTCTTCAATGTGCATATTAACATTAGTGGAAGTGCATATTAAGTTTGGATGATGTGCATTATATATTTCTAATATCTCCATAATTCATATCAAAACTTGATAGTGATAAATATGTCGATATTGCATTTAGATAGTTTATATGTTGCATTTAATCATTATAACATGTGCAATTGTGCATTTTAGAAGTTTGTATATTGCATTTCAATAAAATTATATGTGCACTTTACAAGTTTATATTGCACCTTACTACTATGTGCTCTTTATCATTGTGACATGAGCATTTAGAAGTTCGCACTGCATCTGACCGCAATGATATTTGCATTTTAGTAGTTCATGTGTTGCATTTTATCCTTGTGTCATGTGCATTTAGAAGTTCATATAGTGCATTTTAGTAAGATTATATATGCACTTTATAAGTTCATATTCTGAATCTTATCATTATGATCTCTCATATGCACTTTAATTTGTAAGTTCATACTGCATCTTATCGATATGGCAACTGCATTATATACTCAACTCACATGCATACTAAAATCATGTGATTACATAATGCATAGTACATGAGCAATGTAAGAACATCATAAAATGTTTCAAGCAAATTAAGCGCATAACATTCTTATTTTTTACATAAACACGAATTTAATAAAGGAAAAAATTAAAACTTTAAACATAATAAATCTCATAAAGAAAAAAAGATCACAAATCTCATAAAGAACAAAAATTAAAACATTAAATATAATAAATATCATGAAGAACAAAAAAAGGTTTTTCGACATGCAAGATATCTTGGGGATGGAGATAGAGATAAATAAAAAGAAAAAAGAAATCACGAAAGTAGGGTTGAGTAGAAGATATGCCCAGGAAATTTCTAGCTATCATGAAGAAGAAATTAACTTCTTATATGGAAATGAATAAAGTTTGAGTGCCGAAGAAGGAAGAAAGGAAATAACATTGAAAAGCAAGTTATGGAAAGATAATGGAAAGAGATCGTGTTTTCTTTCTCCAATATAAAAACAAAACAAAAGGACTTAAAGGACCCTCAATTAATTAAATTACGTAACGGCATTTGGTATTGAACGCACAGAGGATCAAATGAAACGGATGGTCATGATTAGTTTGTAGGTTAGTACATTAAGATAGGTTTGTATTTGATCTCTAATATATATATATATATATATATATATATATATATATATATATATATATATATATATATATATATATATATAGACAAATATTCCTGTCCGGACGTCCGGACAGGAACCGCCGTCCGGACCGCGGCGTTTGGCCGCCTTCCAGGTGGTTTTTTTTGATGAAATTTTTATGGCATGTTCTCCATCAAGTCTAGTTTATCCATAAAAAAATTCAGCCAAAAACTCAATCGGGAAGGTCGTCAAATGATTTTTGCAAGTTAACTGGTCCGGAAAATACATATTCCGGACCAGTTAACTTGCAAAAATCATTTGACGACCTTCCCGATTGAGTTTTTGGCTGAATTTTTTTGTGGATAAACTAGACTTGATGGAGAACATGCCATAAAAATTTCATCAAAAAAAGCCACCGGGAAGGCGGCCAAACGCCGCGGTCCGGACGGCGGTTCCCTGTCCGGACGTCCGGACAGGATCATTACTCTATATATATATATATATATATATATATATATATATATATATATATATATATATATATATATATATATATATACATACCAACAAAAGTAATGAACTGAAGAAGAAAAAGAACGTTGCTTTGCTGCCAGGTGAAAAACTGTTCGGCCATATTAAATTTAATTAATAAATTTTATAATTGCTTTTACTAAAAGAAAATTCACATTTGGATATTAAATTTGAAACGTTTGGGTTAGTAACCTGCGGTTACAATCCTTTTTATGCTCAACCGGTAATAGGTTTTAATCTATTAAAGGATTAATTAAATATCAGAAATGACAAAATTGATTTGATAAAAATGATATCAAAACAAGTAAAATTTTATTCATTTGAAATACTCTTAATATTTTCAACATGAAACATATATTAAGCCGTATTTTATATAATTGTATCGTATTATACACGAACGTACGTATTATTGTATTATTCACGAACTATATATTACTAACAAAGATGAAGACACGGGTCGCCGAAACCACGGAAGTGCCTAAAATAGTCATGTTTGCCATTGTTTAAAAAATGACATTTTTATTTAGTTATTCACTTATTCCATATAATTAATGTGCTTTGTTGAGCAAGAAACATGCATGTCCTTTTGTATGTTTGAAATTTTTTACAATTAAAAGTTTGCTAAATCATTTCATTTAATCGAAAATAAATAAACACATCACTCTTATTTATACAGAATTTTTTGACATATTAACTGAATTTAAAGAAAACATCATACAGACACATCATTACAGTAGCCTAGGGACCTGATCATTGGTTAAAATTAGAAACTGTCTAGGCCTCTCCTCTAGGGGCAGGACTTGGAAGTTGGAGGATACACTCAAAAGTTCCCTGAACTTTTTCCAACCATTCAAGTATTCAACTCAAAGTGCTGCATGTTTCAGCTGTAGCTTTCGAGGCAGGAGAACTGCACATAGAATGAAGATTTTTAAGCTTGCACAAAAAATAATCAAACCTTACCAAATTGATGACATGTAAAAGTTAATCAATATAGTTTTGACCTGTGGAAGAATTTAGGTTATAAAATGGGTGCTACTATTGCTTCAGGATTATTACCATATCTTAATCTTAAAGAAGTTAAGACATGCAATGGGACTTATATGGAGGTTATTTGGGAACTTGGGTTTTTGTTTCAGTAATCACACTCATTAGAGATGCTTAATAAAATGCAAGAATTTGAGGTTGCTCCATCACACAGAGAAACTGACCTTCATCGATACTGCATAAACTATTTGGATGAAATATGAAGTCAGGATCCATTTCTTGCTGAAAGAGAAGAAACTGAGCAACACAATTTTTTCTGGAGACATCAAAGATGAGCACATCAAAATTCAAGTCAATAACTAAAATTGACGGAATGCCAACTTAATGGCCTCATTGAAGAAACATGTGTATGCCAAACGAACTAGCAGCTTCCCAGCTTGGGGTAATAATGATATATCATCAGTTGAGATTTAAAAATCAAAACAAGAATAAGTGTCAATCAGGATTGGCAACAGAGCTTGCATTATAGTTACAAATTAATTACCTGGCCCATGAGGGAATAGGTTTTTGTGTGGTTTCTTCCTCATCTTCATCTTCACCTTCATCATCGGAACATTTATATGGAGAAATCTCATATGACTTCAATTGAGCTCCCATGGCAGTGAAGTTTTGATCTTGTTTATCAAAATTGGCATATAGCTTCTTGGAAAAATAAACAAAGCTTGTCAGCACAAAAAGAACTACTCAAAGTCATGCACATGGACCAACTAGTCAAACAAGTCTGAAGGTCCACTATTTATAAATTTTTTTGGACATGTGATTAAAGGCTTTGACTTTTGACAGAGAAAATTCATGCACAAGTCTCCTGTAACGCAGGATTCCAGGTTTCGCCTTTCAAGTGACAACGGGCAACAAAGGATTTGAATCGTTCATGTATGGGAGTATAGCACAGCAGAATGTTATTAAACAATCAAAATAATTGCATATTATCTTGTTTAGAGAACCGGCCAGAAGAGGAACTGTTTATGGTTAGATGTATAGCAACACAGCTACTGGATGGATTTTACAGAACCAGTTTTAAACTTTTAAAAACCTAAGTGTGCTGCCATAAATAAAAGAGTGATGCCCACAAATTTGAACTTCCATGTTAAAATAATACTACATATGTAATAATCTATTGTTTATACCGTTTCAGGTTGACTTTGATCATCTGACGTGTCGAGGCTGTCATGAGAAACTGTGGCTCCTGAGTTGTCATTTTCCAATATTTCAGCATGTATTGGTTTTCCAACCTGGAAAATATCATGTCACAACAGTAACTTATGTTTCATCGCAACAAGCTGACATAATTAGGTAGATGGGATCTTACAATAGCAGAACACTTTTTTTCAACATCTACTTTTTTAACACGGAACTTTTCCTCCTCATTTTGCTGTCTCCGTAACTCTCCAATTCGAAGTCGTTTCTTCTCCTTGTCATTTTTCTCCTCTTCAGCTCTCATCCTTTTCCTTGCTAAAACTTCAGCTTCTTTTTTCTTTCTTTCATCTTGTTTCTTTTGTTTGTTTATTTCTAGCTGTCTTAAATTTTCTTCTTTCCTCTTCTTACGTTCAATCTCTTTTTTCTCATCATGACGTTTGGCTGCCTCAGCTGCCTCCAGAGCCTTAATCTTTACTTCTTTCTTTCCTGTAAAATAATAGAT